ATTTGCAAAGTAAGAATCAGAATCATAGAGTTAAGAGTTATCGGTATTACTTGAAATCAAAATTTGCAGAAGTTCCTTATGAGAACAAGATCAGGTTTGCTGTGGCTTTTCAAATATTTTTTGCTATGCAATCCTTTGGTCTGTTCTACTGCCTTTCCTTACTGGCTAAGAACCAAGACACAAAAAGTGAGTCTTCCCACAAGATATCTGATACCTGCATTCACTGAATCAGCAAAGTTCCAACCTCATCAACATGGAAGAATTTCCATATTCAATCCACCACAGAAGTACTTATAGTATCTCAGCAAAAAAATACTTCAGTGTTCCCAGAATGAGTTAAAAATCCTTTCCTTCTACAGCGAGGCTAGAGTCAGGAAAAAAAAAAGCCCAAAATCTATGCCTGTGCCAAGGAATACTTCTGGAAACACTGACAGAGTAAAAACAAGTATTAAAAAGTGAGGTCAAGAGGAACTTCCTAACTGGTCACAGCAAAAAGTTCTACCTGCAGACCCTGAACTGCCAAGCAGGCAGACAGATTTGGCAAGATGAAGGAAAATTAACCAGTTGGAATGGAATATCAAGAGCTATGTACTCGCGTTTATATTTTCGATGCTTTGTTACGAACTCTTTAGGACAAGCTTGGAAGTTTCAACTTTGATTTTTGCTCTTTCCATGTAAAAATCAATACAACGTGTCACACCAGTAAGGCCATGAGAATTTGACTCGGTCTACAATTGCTTTTGAAGTTTTTTTAAACTAGAGATTTATCTGCATTTGATGAAGTATCCTCCTCCCTTATTTTCCTTTCCTATTCAAATATATCCTTCAAATATTAGGAGCTTGTTTCCCTTTATCTGCCTGTCTTACGCTTCCATGACAGAGCGCTATAAGTAATAAAAGGTATTCCATTTTTTTTTAATATCAGATTGCTTACAAACTTTCCACTGGAGTTGCAAACCAATAAGCTGGCTTAAATCTGATACATACTCTTAGCTACTGTCCACAGACTCCTCAAAGGTAGCTAACAGACCTTTGGAATTCTGTGGATATAAATTTGAAAAGTAATTCCTATAAATGATACCCTTTCTCTAATGTGTAAGAAAAAAAGTATCAATTTCTTGCATATCTCCACTCATCAAAATTTGGATTTCACATGGCATTAACAAACTTGTTGCCTTATGCATTCTGAAAGAAGATTGATTCTAACCTATATATTGTATTTAATGGTTATCTGTTCACATTTTTTTCTTTTACTAGATGATTCGTTTTCTTTCCAGAAGAAAGAACTCTGACCAGAAAAAAGAACAGCTGGAAATGAGACAAAGTTCCCAGAAGCAAGTCCAAGACAAATTAACCACCATTGTAGCAGACGCAATTTAGTTTTTCAAACCAAAGCAAGTAAGTTTCAGGGTTTCTATGTTTATCTTTATGGATTGTAATTCTAATTCTAAACTTTTTTTTAATTTAATCAAAAATTTAAGTCATAATTCTAAAGATTTAAAACTGTCTTCAATTAGTACAAAAAAGACAAACACTAGAGTTTAGTTTAATAGCTTTTCATCTGTTGAGGTCCAAATTTCAAACTCTGTTTTTGGTACATGACAAAGTGTAAAGACCCCATCCTAGCAATCACACAATGCAACTCAGACGTCTCTCTCCCTCCTGTCCCCAGAGGTCTTGCTAGAAACCCTGAAGATAAAATAGTTTTTTTTAACCTAGTGAAGAAAAAGAGAGGAAGTACAGCTAATTAAACAAATCACTGATCTTTTTCTACCTAATTTGCATCACCAAATGCCTTCATAATATAGGAAGATAGATGTATTTATATTTGTATACCTGTAATGTACAGTTTTCTTTTCGTTTGAGGAACTCCACAAACCTGGCCACCACTCCTGGTGTGCTTATGACTTCATCTATTGGGGGATTTGGTTCTATTTAAAATAAAAAGCAAAGTTAGATACATTCATTTCTTTGAGGGAAATTCTCAAATTACTGCATCAAAATAATATTCAATAACATACTGACTCCTCTTTTCTGAGAGTATGTTCTTTTTCTACAACACTGCTTTACCTTTACTAAAAGGCAATGGATTCCTATCTGTCACCATAAGAAGACTCCAGCTTGAATTTTGAGGTAATGAGGTAACATGATTCAAAACACTAATGCACTCAGTAATTTAGGCAGACCAGCTTCACAGCAGCAGCTCTGTGAAGTCACTCTGGCATACACACATGCAGAGAAACTTCGGTGTATCAGCTGAGCCATAGAGACACTGCCTACGATACTTAAACTTACATTCAAGAGTAGACATCACATCTACATCACACAGATTTCAAGAAAAGAAGTGACTATTGCCTACATCTAGCTGACATTTTGCAAAACAGAGCTTCATCCAGAAATTTCTGTATGAAACTGAACCTTTATTGCTGTCAAAGTAAAAACATATGCCAGGGACAGTTCTACATTTTTCTCCAAGTAATTTCAGTCCTTACCTTTAGAAAGAAGCTTTCGGAACTTCTGGGTGGCTGAAAGCTGCTGTTCTGGACTATTGGAGAAAATCATCTCAATCATATCAGAGGTGATGACTGCACTCTAGGATTCATGTGGGGGAGACAGAATGAGAGTGATGGAGAGAAAGAGGGAAAACAAAATTTGGCATTAGTGGTAAAAAGGTTACAACATTTGCTAAACCAGTATCAAGTTTCTCTCTTATTGAGTAAAAACCTAGATAAGACCATTATGGACAATAAATGAGTCCTCATATGTGTACATCTACATAAGCAGCATCATTCTTTAAGTGTAGTCTTTCTTTTCTGGAAGCCAAAATTCAAATTTTACTTAAGATATGGCAAGAAAATTACTCTTCAGAATCTCTCACCGGTATTCTCTCTCCTTTTTTTCTATCTCCCCTCCTCTAAAACGTATGTAAAATGGTCAGTTTTAGCAAAAGGTAGTTTAAACTGGAATAGCAGTTACTGTTACGCAAGAACACCACCTTGATTATGCTTTTGTTTAGATTTCTGTAACATGTACATTTTGACTCATTCTGTTACACAAAAATGTACACGACCTGTCATTTTCAGAAGAGCTGACAAACCTAATGCTTGTCATCATAATCAAGTAAGAGTATTTAATCTTCCATAATACTGACAGTTTCCACTAATACGGCTGAATTATATCAGCAATGTTTCTTACGCCAGGTAAAATCTGACATTCTGTTCATCACACATGTAAACCCATGTAAAGAAGCATAAGGAAAGTCAGATTTTTTTTTTCCACTTCCTCTGATCTAAATCCTTAGATAGATCTGATCCAAACCCTTAGATAGATAGGTAGACAGACGACAGTGCTGAAAATACTTAAGCTTTGTCTGTAACAGCTAACAGCTCCAACTGTTAAGACCTTGAAATTAATACTTAAAATAGTGAACTGTATCTATATGGTCGTATCTATCTCAATTAGATAGGCTCCTATCCTTACTTTTACTAGCTATTAATTTCATATAAGCTTCCACACAAATGATTAAATGGTATTTAGGACTTGAATGACGTTTAAAGACTATCTTGAAGAGTAAAAAAACATATTCTATTAGTGATCTACCACATAGTTTATAGTATTTCTCTGTTTCTCAGTAATTTTCAAGGTTGGTATAACCACCAACAGAAAACAAGCCCAGCCTGATTTCTATGAAAACAACATTTCCATACTCTGAATACATACACAAGTGTGAAGATCAGTGGTCAGACTTTTAAGTGAAGACTGCACTTTCCTTAAACCTCTCTGTTACAGCCTGAATCCCTTACCATTTTTCTTTCCAGGGAGAGGACTGTGGTAAAGAAACATGGAGAAAGCAAAAGTGTCTAATTTCCACTAGAAGTGTTTTCCGTAGGATGAAATTCCAGCTTGGAAAGGAGTTTAAGGACACATGCGGATTAGATAAGCTACGTCTAGCTGTGTTTCCAGCACCCTGGCTAAAAATGGTGCCACTTGAAAGTCCGCTAACAAAGATTTCCACTGAGCCCCTTTTTACTTTGTAAACTGCAATAACACATTGTCTGGTTTGTATTTTCATGTTTCAAGCATTATGAATTTCACATTAAAAAACCCCAACAACTCCGGGCAACAGTTGATAAAATCACCCATAATGGTGAACATCAAAACCAGAAAGTAATCAGCCTGCCTGGAACAATGACGTTTTATTTAATTTTCTTGAAAGCATATCCACTGAGCAACCACTCACTCTATCCATAACATTTTTCTCTCATGTAATCTGTTTCAGGGCAGTTCACCTAGACAGGTGTTTAAGAGCTGTCCATAAGGTCTTTGAATGCCATCTTTCACATTTTTCTGGAATTCCATTCCCCTCAAGTCACAACAGGCCTGCCCGGTTTCAACAAACACTGTATTCCTTTCTCATGACTTACAGAAGTCATCTCCATATTGTTCATCTGAGCCTCATGGAAGCCACCATCTGACATCACTTCCTCCTCCGCTTCTTCCTCAGCTGTTGCAACATTTCGGCGTTTAAACAACTAAAGAGAGAAAGTATTTAATATATATTATATAGCCAATATATACACAGCGTGTCATGTTAGGCTGCAATAAAAATGACATATGCTATCACCTGAAAGAAGCCAGTATACTGGCTACAGGACTCCTCCTGACAGTAAATGGAGAAAGTTTAGTCATGGAGTAAATGAAAACACCAATGTGCTAGAATATGGTTCCCAAAATTTCTGAAAAATTCTCACTGATATCCCCTTCTCTTCTTCACTGTCCCCCTCCATCTACGAGCTATCTCTAGCTTCCAGACAATTGCTTCCTTGCAAAGGATGCTGGGGCTCAAAGATCTGAAAAATTGCTGTGTGTAACAGATTTTTGTAGAACACCTGCAGAGGCTGGGATAATAGTTACAGTGGCAAAGAGAGGGCTTTGGAGGATGATCATATGGGATTGAAATTATACTGGGATGAACAGAATTTGGATGCTACCACTTAGAGAAGGTACCCAGTTTGAGATGTCATGAGGAGAGCGAGAGAGGCTACAGCTTCTCCTCTTAATCCAGCTGCCTCACTGAAAGAAACATTAGCAATGACAAGATGGCTTTGGGGGTGCTGCTTGGCCTGCTGAGTTCAGGAATGCTGAATGCTCCGGCATTGAGCCACGTCACATTTGCACCACTGCAGACAGGCAAGACAGAGCCCTGACACAGACCTGCTGTTACTCTTCTCTCCAGAGAAGACACGGAGGAAACAGTATGCAAAACTGCTAAGTCTATAGCAATCCTAGGTCAGTGATGAGCATCCTTATGGAATGCTATTCCTTCTAAGCTACTGTATGATGTGCCCACTCAAGCACAACAAACATGTACTCAAATATAATCTTAAACCAAAATTTACACATTGCTGAGTCATGTGAAAATTCAGAGGCCTGTGGAGGCCTTTTGTGGAGTTGTTCAGCTTAAAAAAAAAACACCACACCCCAAAAAACCCCAAACCCCCCAAAACCCGGGAATTTAAACAAACTTCAATGAGCTATGTGCCAAATACATAAAAGAGAAGTACGTGTACAAGGTCTGAAATTGTAGAGCTGCAGACTCTGCCTGCAATTCCACTTCTGCTCCACTGTTAGTCCAGTTAGGACTAATAATTTTCCTTAACAGAAGGAAATACTGCCACACACTTTATTTAGCCAACCTGTGGTAATCAGGTCCAAGGGAGGTCAGAGGCACAGATAAGACAGAAAATGACTCATCATTTTCCTAATTTAGTAAGGGCTTTACAAAGAAGACCGACAACATTCTGTGCATTTCAGTAATCTGGAAATGCTACCTGCAGATACCAAGCAAAATCAAGAAGTATTGTAATTCCCTCTCAGAACTCTCCCCTGCCTTTCCTTGAAAGCATTTGGTATTGACACTGTGAAAACGATATTAAACAGAACAGATTACAGACTTGACTTACCATTCCAAACACAAGCATATTACTATCTTCCTTCTAACTCCAGAAACCTCAACATTGATGAAAAAGGCTTCATTATAACTTTGTTTGAAATTGAACCAATCCCTTAAAGCTTCCAGTGAACACAACTAAGAACAAAGGGAAGAACTGTTCAGTGCTACCTGTTTTTATCAGAAAATGGTTTTCATCATGTCTTGTCACTGCTGCTGTTTCCTGATTAAACCTGCAGAGCACCTGCGACTTTGCAATGTGAATGAAGTAGTAAGAACTAGCAAGACATGAGCAGGTAGAGAAGCTTCGTTTCCAAGCATTTTTCTTAATCATTTTGCCTACAACATATACTAAATTCACTACTCAAGGTACCAGCCTCATGGGCATAAACATAGTATGAACTTCTGTACATTCATAAATTAACTGAAACTTAAAGACAGAAAACTGAGAAGAATCAGGTAAACAAATTATTTCTTCCCTCAAGAAAATCATTACTGCAATTTATAAGGACTTGGTCAGACCTTCTCCTTCTCCTATTCTAGCTGCAATGTCTCCTTCCATTTCACGCCAGCTTGCCACTCTTTGAACAGAGATTAGAGCCACCACAACTCAGGCAGAAAACAAAACAAAACACCAAAAAAAAAAAACCACCAACAAAAAACCTCAAAAACCATAAACAAAAAACAAAACAGGAGTTCCTCAATCACCCTTGGTACAAGGTCAGACAGCTTTGTTCAAATCATCTTTAAGCTGCTCTGGCCAATCTTACAAGTTTTGTAGAGCCTGCAGAAAAGGCAGCAAAGTCTGCAAGTGGCACTGATTTCAGACTGACTATGTATGAATTTGGCAGGGCAGGAACAACAAAGAAGGGGCTTAGGAGAACCAAAGAGCCAGAGACAGTGCAAGACAAGACTGTTTAAGGACTGGTTACAGTTATCGCAATTGTAGTACAGTACCTGTTCCTCTCTCTTTTGCTTCCGTAGCTGAAGACCCTCTTCCTCCCGCCTGCGACGCATCTCATCAGGGTTTAGAGATTTGTTCTTGTAGCTCTTCAGTCGGAAATTCTCTTTTCCTGAGGTCGTCATGACTCCTTTACAATGCAATTAAAAAGAGAATTCAGAAAATAATTACTCTTCAACAACACATCATTCTGTATTCTGTCTCCATCTCTTAATCTCTGTAGCCATGCACTTCCAGCCACTGCCCCCCTATATCCTATCCCCTAACTTCCAATAACTTAGAAGGTATAAAGCAAAATTTCACAGAATTGTCACTTCAGTGTGCTAGTTCTTCACATCAGACCAACAAACTTTTATTTTACTTTCTGAGGCTGCAAGGCATGAATAAGTGAAATATTTTATTAAGAAAGAACTGAGATCTGTAAGGCAGAGTAACAGCCTGAGCTAAAAAGAAAACTGTACTAATAAATCTTAACATTTCTTCACACAGGGAACTAGCCAAACAAATTATATTCCATCTTCACTCAGAAGTGAAGGGGTCTTAGCTGCTTTTTAGCTTAATTCACTTTGCAAGTCAGAACAGGGGCTTTTTTGCACTCCAAATCCACATTTTAAGTTAATTCAACACAACCCTGTGTTCTTTCTATCCAGACAAGGTCTACAAGAAAAATGAAATGGACAGAGAAATTTTAGGTGAGGATGGTTTAACCACTGAAAATGCTCACTCCAGCAAAGAAAGCAGTGCTATTCTTCCCCTCCTCCCCACCCCCAGCCTCTAATCCTGCCACTGTTTATGCAGAGGGGCCTTTTTTCAGTCTATGATTTCCAAGTACTGTCTGTCTTATGTAACTCAGTGGATCAGCATTTATAGCTGCCCATGATGATTTTCACATGTACCATGCTGCACTTTGGAGTTACTTAGCACAAAACAATAGCTATAAACTGTGTGGAAAGACCATGCTCCCCCTTAAATCAATGGACTGTGGATCAGGTCTCCACTCTCAGTGCTCCATTCTGCTGCTACTTCTCTCCTTACATCTCCCCTTTAAATCCAAAAAAGGCTGGGGACCAAATTCTAAACATCTTGGTATTCCCATGCATCTTCATACACATGCAGAATCTCCAATACGTTGTTAATATCTGCAACTCTGTAACACAAAATTTAGGAAACTACGCTATATAAAAAGTTACTCTACAGGGCTTTTAAAGGTCTCTTTCAAATGCCCTAATGTGTTGTATTAAATATACTACCTACCTCAAATTCCATAAGCACAGAATCACCAGGTGATAAATGATCTCCTGTGAGCAACACGAGTGTATACAGACTCTCAACAGCTTAGGTTTCCTATCTAAAATGCATCAAACATATAACCTGAATCTACTCTAACCTCCTCTTCTTTCAATTAGCACAAAGAGTTTTAAGAGATTAAAAAAAAAAAAAGAGAATACCCGAATGTGCTTCTTATAAGAGTGTCTTTTTAAGTTGCTGCTACCTGACAACCGTTTATAAGAATTCTGATGATCAGAACTGACTTTCACAGATGACATTTCGGGAATCATTTCAAGCGTTACTGTATTCTGCCAAATGAGATTTTAAAATCTGTTAAAGGACACAAAACTACTGTATTCAAGATCAGTCAGTCACAGACCGCACTGAATGCAACATAAAAACCTGAGCATATAGGTAAGTAATTCAGCAGCCTAATTCTGCTGAAAAGGCTCTTCCTGAAATGGCTTTTTTTTTAAATATAGGTCCTACAAAAAGATAAATCTCAGAACGCCGGAAGTTCCCTACATCGTTCTTAACAGCTTAGAGACCCCTTTCTTCCTGTGTTTAGATGTCTGAGCTTAAAGTGTTCATGTTTCTTGCAATATGCTTGGCAATAACATTTTCTTCCCATTTTTAGTTTAAGTGACTACTACCTGTATATAAAACATACAAGCTATTTGGGGAAGCCCTGGACTTTAACTGTAAAAAAGAAGTTCAGGCTAACGAATACTCAGAGTACAAAATTTCTTTTGTTTCTAGAACATTTTGAAAGAAATATTTGATATATTTCAGAATTAGCAAAATTAATTCAAACACCAGATGGACAACCATGAGCTAAAAGGACGTGCCTAAGAGGGAAATGGCTTTGCAGCCACTCTAGTCAATCTGCCCTTGAACATGAACAAAGACGGGCATGCAGAACAGCCCAGATAAGATCTCAGGCCTTCCGTGACATGATTAATAATTCTCCATTTTTGTCTGAAACACGTCTTCTCAAACTCCCAAGATTATATTTGCCTTTATTTGGGATTTCAGGACTTTGATAGCTCCTGTGGTCATTTCACACCTTTACTTTCAATCCCTGAAAGTTCTTAATTTAAAGAAATCCTTGACAGTGAACATCTTCATTTCTTAATACTGAATTTCACCTCATTTCTATTATGTAGCCCCTCCGTATGATGTTCCAGTGTTTCTAAACATCAATGACACCATCCAACTTCATCACCAGCAAGTTTCCTTAGAGTATTTCTCCTTATTGTACTTATTTACCTAGTTTCCCCTCATCTCCCAACTTGTGTATTAATTTCTTTCAATTAATATTGCTTCTGACTTTAAGCTAATAATTTTCATTTTCCTCTCAGACCTCTACCAGCCCTCTCCTGTTGTACTCTACACATCATTTCATTTATTGAAAACACAGGCACAGGATGTGAGTTCTGTGACTTTATCTCAACCCCTCTACCTAACAGCTTCACAAGAATTATTTTCTATTTATTACACCCTTTACAAACTTTAGCTGCAACTTTTGGCTATGCTCATTTCTGACTTTCAAGACAGCTCACTTTGCTGACTAACCCTTTCTTCTATTTTTTGAGTAATCTGTACACTTAAAATCCTTTCAAAATAGTGTATTGTGTTTTACCTGGGAGTAAAGCCTTCCTACAAATTCCTATCACCAAATGACTGGGAAGACAGTTTCTTCTATTAAAGGTGAAAAAATTAAACTTCATCATTGAGAAGTTACCAATTGAACTAGTAATGAGTTCAATAGTTTATTTCATAGTAGTCCCTCACTGGTAGTAAATAAACGAAATCCCAATGCACAGCCACATATCCATTTTATATACCTGCCTATCTAACCTGGGTAACTATTAAATCTAAAGTTATTTTCTAAAAGCAGCTTTTGTAATATTCTCAATATCTCCTAAAATCAATTCCGTCTTCATCACTCTTGTACTGGTTCCCCGACTACTGGTGAAAAATTCAGTGACCACATCCAGGATTTCATCTAGCCCACATCTACTGCTAGTGTCTTTAAGACCTATTCAGTGTGAGCACATATATTATTTTTTTAGGAGTGAAAATACAACAATCCTATGTTAGTTGTTACAGTCACCCAAGGATTGTTTGCTATAAATCTCCTCTTCCATTTTTCAGGATGTAGCCTTTCCCCCAGACTAAACCACAGAGGCAAAACAACTTCAAATTGCTTTACTCATCTTCAGCAGCTTTGTTGTGGCTTAACTGAAAATCTTTCAATGGTCACTTCAAATTCACCCAGGGTAATTTCTTCATAGCAAATAGTGCAGAAAAGATCCAGGGTTTGCTATCAAAATTAATGCTACTTCTGGTGAAAATCTGTGGTGGTTGTCATGGAAATGTTCTACCCATCTTTTCTTTTCTAAAGATAGCATAGTATTTTCCACATTTTTTTGATACTCCCATCTACAGATAAAAACCTCTGGCAACCTGGTGAGGAGTTTTCATGGTATATTCTTTGGGTTTTTGCACAGCACCACTCAAACCCCATATGCCACTTTCTCCTCCTCAGTTTGGCTGCCATGAAAAAATGGTTTTTAGTAAAATTAAAAACACCATCCATTCCTGAATGTCTGCATTTCCCTAAGGAAAATATGATCCCCAAATTTTTCGCTGATCAAGACAAGTACCCTACCAAATGTGGTTATGTTCTAAGCACACATTTCTAGGAGAAAGGGAAAGTACTGCATTTCTCCTTGCTCATCAAGTCAAAGAAATTCAGAGGCACTGGGAAACACAGAGTCCCTTACTGCGATGACCTACCTTGTCCCAAGCAATCATCTAGATAGGAAATAAAATGAACTCCCTGCCTTCTTAAATCAGGTATCACTGTCACTGGACTTAAGGGCTTTGCCAGAAGGAATGCCATATGATTAATAGTCTTGGATATTCCACACGTCAGAGGTATCCAGATGTAAAAGTAAAGGCCTTACAAATCAAGACCTGCATAAGGGTATATATAACCCAGATGACTGAAACTAAGATTACCAAATACACTGCTGATATTAAAGACTGTTAGAGACAAACTTTCCTTCTTTGGAATTAGGGGTGGGAATTAGGGGGGAAAAAAAAAGTTTCAGAAGTGTAGACCCATACAAGAAATTCTACCTTCCAATGGAAATGTATCAGAAGAGGAAGACTTGAAAATGAAGGTGGACAAGGAGGTTGAAGAGAAACGGCATAAGTGATAAAAAAAGTTATCTTGAAGATCCATGATCCGACATACTACCAGTCTACGTTTCCTAACTAACAGAGGCAGTTGTCAGAAAGACAGGACTCACTGGAGGCATACTTGTGAGCTCTACTGTGCCGTCAAACTGCTCTCTCTCCTTCAGATTGCTGCCAGAGAGACAGTGAAAAGATATGAGAGGCACTGTCGGTCCTGAAAGGACAACCCGTGTTGAAAATGGCACTGTCAACACCGAACTCCAAGCAGTGAGAGAAGCTGGAACTATTCAAGGTAAGAAATGGTTCAGCTATACTACAAAACCTTTACTTCCAATGAGATTTTTGTTTGTTTATTGGCTCTGCCGTAGGACTCTAGACCTCCTAGAGAATTAAAGTTTGCTCACAATCATGCTTCTTGACATCACACCAAACACCTACAGCACAGCCTGGACAGATGTTTGAGCAATTCACTGAGCTCTGATTACAGGATGCATCATCTTCTGACACTCTTAGTGAGAGACTAGAAAACCTATCCAATTTAAAAAACTACCCTGAAAGCAGCACTTGGTCATTCATTACTCTCATCAACACACTCCCTATAAATCCAACATTTTGGCCACAAATGGTTGTTTTTTTCCCCCCCATGAAG